TCGACGGAGCCATGTAGTCTAGACACACCCTTAATGTTAAATAATAATAGAGATGTAGCCATGTTAGTCTGGTCTAGCTGAAACAAAAAACAGGACTATGTAGCACTTTAAAGACTAACAAGATGGTTTCATCACCTAATAAACCATCTTGTTAGTCTTTAAAGTGCTACATAATCCTGTTTTTTGTTTCACCTTAATGTTAAGGTATCTTGCCTTAACCCTTTCTCCAGCCAAGGAGTCATCCTGCTTGCTGACACCCCAACTGACAACACCGTGTTTTATTAAGAAAAACAAACAGTTCCAGAGCATGCACTGATTAGAAAGAAACATACCTTGATTAACACGCACGTCTCAACATGCCACACTTTCACCACCCCTTTTTCGCAGCTGCTCACAATGTGCAGGCTGTTGATTTTAGCTGTGCAAATGGCATCTTTGTGTTTTAGAGTTTTGAGGCATCGCCCGGTGCTTAAATCCCACACTGTTAGGAGCGGGAGGAAGAAACATAAATAATGTCCACATTGATTTGCCTGTGTCAGTCTGTAAAATGTGAATAAAGATGGTCTGTGTCACAGCAGAGGTCAGAACTCCCTCGTGCCAGGCTCTGCCCAGAGACAAACTCGAACCTGAAGCGTTTACACTGAGGGTGTGTCTAGACTACAAGGTTTTTTCGAAAAAATGTCACCTGCATCGAGACTATCCAAAAAAAATTTGGAAAAGCAGACTCATTCTTTTCCCATCCCGGTAAACCTCATTTTACAAGGAATCATGCCTTTTTTCAAAAGTACTCTTTCGAAAAAAGGCGCTATCGAATGCAAACTGTGCATTTTCGAAAGAGAGTGTCTAGACTCTCTTTCGAAAGAGCGGCTCGCTTTTTCGAAAAATCTGCTTGTAATCTAGACACGCTCTTTCGAAAGAGGCTCGAAGTCTAGACGTAGCCTCCAAGTAGAAAAAGAAATGGAGTATCATTAAACTCCCTGTTTCACAGGCAAGAATCTGAGGTCACAACAGGAAGTCTCCCACATCTAACCACAAAGCCGTTCCTATTGTATTAAACCACCCTCGTGGGAGTAGCCAAGCAAATTCAGCTCCATTGAGAGTGTCTGAAATTCACCAGCTGTCTTCCATGCTGGTTGTCAGGGGCACACACTGTCTGCAGAGGCAGCCCGTGCGTATAGGCCGACTCGGCTGTCGCCTAGGGCACCGCGTTAAACGGGGCGCCCAATGATGACATCATGCCATTGAGGGCTATGGAGGCGGGGGCGCCGATCGTCTGGGGCACAGAGGTGCCGATCACGCATTCCGCATGGGGCGCCAGCTGCTGGCAGCCCACCTCAAGCCACCCCGACTGTCTGTGGTATAAATATACGTGTTGGGCCTGCTGATCTAAGCCAGGTCAGACCCCCTTGCTGCTACCGTTGGGATTTGGAATGTGGCTGGCAATGGCCTGAGCAAAAGCCTTGGCGTATTTTGGTGATTTCTTGCTCACCTTTGACCATCCCGTCTTTCGCTCCTGACACAATCTTGGTTTTGTACAAGTCCAGGCAGGTGATGGTCCCCGTGTGACCGTTAAAGATCTTCAAACAAGTCCCGGTGAATATATTCCAGCATCTGCAGAGGAAGGGCCCAGCAGAGGAGACTCGTTGTGAATAGTGACATAATCTTTGTGAGTGCCACCTCATGGCCCTGGCTCTCTTTGTACATTCACTGGGGTCAGTCAGGAGCAATTCCAATGAGCTCAATGAAATAACAGCAGGAGAAGCCCAATGTAAGGTCAGTAGAATCAGTCCCTAATAGTAACGGAGCTGGTGTTATATTTTGTGCAGGCGGCACCAGGGCTGGCACCGACACAAACATCGGGATTGGTTCTCTGGCTACTCACCGATGGCTGGCCTCCAAAGGTAACAATTGGTCAAGCAGCCCCTTTTCCATCTAGCACAGGGGTGGAGAATAAGCGGGAACGGTGAATCGCAGCCAACAGGAGCTACAAACGGCTGCACCTGTGATGCTCAGGTAAATAAAGCATCTGGCAGCCCCCCAGGGGCTAACCTGGCAAACTGTGTCCAGCCCGTGGGCCGTTTATTGCCCAGCGCTGATCTTGCAGCTGCCAAGAAGTCGTACAGCTGCTTCAGTGAGAACACCCACGCAGGTGGCTACAACAAAGACCATCCCACGCCAAATCAGGGGGGAGACAAAAGCTCCATAGCTGTGTATGGCCATGGAAACAAACCCTGCCATGTCACCCCGGAGCTGGACAGAGAGGATACAAATCAATGATTTTTTTTAATTAAAGAAAATCAGATTTTTTTACATTTAAATCAATTTTAAAAAATTTTTAATCAACAAAAGACTACATTTTTCATTTAAAAATATGAGTTACAATTAGATCCCATCCCAAACATGCTACATCTACTCTCACAGCCTCGTACGAATGAATTACGGGTGCTAGTCCAGTGTTTCTCAACGTGGTCCACGAAACCACTTTGAGAAACACATTCCCTATGTCTACACTGCGGTTTTCATGTGGAAGAGGCTGTGCAATGCTTTTCTCCTTCCGATTCTTTTTGCGGAAAAGGTTTTGCCACTAAAAAGCCCTGTGGAGACGGGGCCATTTGTCAGAAAAAAAAATCCTGCTATGAACTTCGATTTTTGAGGAATAAGGGATCTTGCACAAAAGGGTTTTTTCCAACAAATGACCCTGTCTACACGGGGCTTTTTAGTGGCAAAACCTCTTCCGCAAAAAGAATCGGAAGAAGATATGCAAATGAGCATGCCATTTGCATATCCTCGTCTGCAAAAATACTATAGCGTAGACATAGCCAGTAACTGGCCGCCGCAGTTTGCTTATTTACCAGCACCGTGGCCACGGAGCCTCGTGGCTCCCATTGGCTCCGTTTTGCTCTTTGCGTGGCCAGTAAATGTGTTTCTCAATATGGTTTCATGGGCCGCTCTAGTCTGTCCAACCTAACAAGCTCCTGCTGCTTGAAAGTTCTTGGCTTTCCATTTCTGCTTCTCGGCAGACTGAGGTGTGCAGAGACAGACATAGTCTGGAAAGGATTGTTTCTGCTCTGTGCTTAGGTGGTTGTGGAGCTGGGCTAAGCTTGGCAGCCCTAGTTAAGACATTGTCTGAAGACAGCGAGATGAGAGGCAGGAAAGGACAGAAAGGAAGAGTGGAGTGGACTGGACTGGAAAGGAAAAGGGAAAACGTTCATTCTTCAGCATACACACAGCTTCCCATACTCCCCTACACTTTTGCTGTAGAAAAACTGGCCTGGCTTCTGGGCATAAAAGAGACCTTATCTGGGGATAGCTTGAAGGAATTCGTGCCCTGGGTAAAAAAGGAAACGTCGCCACGTGTAAGCAGGGCAAGAAGAAGACGCAGGAGCTAGCTGCAAACAGGAAACATCATAAGGAAAACGGCTTGTTGGGAGAAAACACCGTGGAGGAAGACGTGGCTATGGCTGACAAACAATGTGGATCTACTTTGCGATGCAGCATTCTTCAAGCCTCTCTCTCTGCCTTTTAGTAGAAGTGTGACTGAACAAGTCAATTCCCAGCTGGCTGTTTGCCGTGTTGCGAGTCGCTAGAAAAAAAAGTTGAGCTTAGCTAATCCATGTGGCTTGTTTAATTAGGCTTAGAGTCTAGCACCCAAGTGTACAGCACAGAAGGCTGCAGTAAGAGAAATCTAGAATTGCCAGTTGCCACTGAGTGTCATTTTCTTATTTTATATGACATAATACACACCTCTTATTTTGGGATCAGCCAGGTCACAGACCGTATAAGTCCATCCCGTACTGGTTTTCAATGGGGCTTACTCCAAATTAAGCACACTCTAAGTACAGACCGTCTTGGCTTTTTCGGTAACTTGGAATTAGACAGGCATCAAAATGACAGTGGGATGGGGAAGATGAGAGCTAGCTGTAGAAGTTTTAAGGAAACTGTACATGTGTCTGTTAGAGTTAATAAAATTTGAAGGACAGCTGTCAGCCGACAACTTGCCAAATGTAAAACATTTACATCTGCAGCTTGACACAGCTAATGAGTATGATGGACTATTTCCTAAATTAATAAAATCAAGTTGTCTAAAAAATGACACAAAGTGTACCTTCTTGGATGTTGTAAAATGCTAAACTGAACTGTAAAGTAACATGGTTTAGTGATCAGATTTGCACCATTGTTTGAAAAAATCTGAAGTCGTATGAGTGGGAAACTTGATTTAAAGCAATGAATTTTTGGGGGGGTGATTTAAATCATGATTTAAATTGATGATATAAATTGCCTTGTTTTTAAATCAGTCTGTCCTGGAGTTGGAGCACTTGACTTAGGTTTCCGCTCATGGGCATAACACGGCGATTTTGGCAGCGGACCACTAGACTCCTAGGAATTAGTGACAGAGAAGACATAAAATGACTCTTTGTTCCCTCTGGGGCTCCTGGCATTGGCAGACAGGACATTGGGCTAGATGGACCTTTGGTCTGATCCAGTCTGGCCATTCCTATGACTTTCCATTCCCAAACTTTAAGGAGCAATGTAACCTCTTCACAGCTAGCTGCCTCTACACTGTCTTCCAATCAAGCTGGAAGAGTCAGAAAGATGTGGAGAAATGGCAGAAGATCCAGAGAAGAGAATCAAGAATGATTAAAAGTCTAGAGAACATGAGCTGTGAAGAAAGACTGAAGGAATTGGGTTTGTTTAGTTTGGAAAAGAGAAGACGGAGAGGGGACATGAGAGCGGTTTTCAAGTATCTAAAAGGGTGTCACAAGGAGGAGGGAGACAAATTGTTCTCCTTGGCCTCTGAGGACAGGGCAAGAAGCAATGGGCTTAAACTGCAGCAGTGAGGTTTAGGTTGGACATTAGGAAAAACTTCCTACCTAGTATAAATTGCCTAGAGAGGCTGTGGAATCTCCATCCCTGGAGATATTTAAAAGCAGGTTGGACAGACACCTCTCAGGAGTGGTCTAGACCGTGCTGGGTCCTGCCGTGAGGGCAGGGGACTGGACTCGATAACTTCTCAAGGTCCCTTCCAGTCCTAGTGTTCTAGGGTTCTATGACTTCAGAGGTGGACTCCTGGTCCTACTGAGCTGAATGGGGGTTTTGGCCTGGACAGCAGCAGGGCCAGGATGCAGCCCAGATGCTAATTGGAAACATAGCTCAATGCCTGTTTCCCTGGCTACTTCGCTACTTCTTCCAGTGCTGGGTGAAACTGCCACACACAGAGGAAGAATGTGCTGCATGAACAAGGGGAGGGCACGTGGAAATCTAGGTCGTGTTTTTCCTCGCTCCTTATTCTGGTCAGAAAATGGGGGTGGGGCGGGTTCTGGAACAAATTCCCAACGTTGGGTTGGGTTTGGGGCTTTATGCTTTATGGAATGTCATTGCAACAGATCCTTCCCACATGGATGCTCCACCTGGGGGCTCACCTGATGCTGAGATCGAAGCTGGCACTGAGCACGAACCCTTTCTTCTCGTTGAGGAACACGGCCTTGATGCTCCCGGCATGGCCACTGATCACAAGAGGCATCTCCTTCAGCTCCAGCACATCCAGGAACCTG